CCTTTCTGAACATGCCGGACGCAGAGTAACAAGAGAACACGTAATGATTGAAAAGGGAGATTTTTGAGATTTTAACCCACCCCTTTGTTTGTTTTTGTTTCTGTTTTTTCGGCTAGGAGGTGGGTATGTGGCGTATTCCGAATATCGGACATATTCTTTACTAGTATTCTTATTTATAAAGGCCAATTATCACATTAGCAGGTAATGTGGGAATTTCTCCGCTGTTCATATAAATTTTGACAAAAATTTTCTGTGTGAATTTCCTTTGTTCTCTAAAACTGTTACCATCAGTCTGCCGGAAATATGTTCCTCCTTCCACAAGCGGGAAAAACGCACTCGGATAGTAAAGTCAGTGTTCTCCAGAAGCTGGCTGGCCGCTAAAAAAAATTCCAGAGAACACTACACAAGGCATAGTACTTCTTACATTTTACCTGCTCCTGAAGGGAAGAAATACGAGATTGGTAGTTTTCCAGGTCTCTCTTCAATTTGTCTTTTAGAGACAACGCACGCTCTTTCTCCTTCCGTTCGTTCAAAAATTCTTCGCGGTATGTTTCGTTCTGTGAATGAATGAAGAAGAGAATGAAGAGAAACTGAAAGCAAGATCAAGAAGGCAACTCCGCGTAGCTGGTGTTAAGTCATTTGATGTCTTTCGCGCACAGTGATGTAATAAAATAATTCGAGAGAGAAACCGCTTTTAGGGAGGAGACCGTCTAAGCAGAAGAACTTAAGGATCTTAAGGAACTTAAGGATCAAACTAAGACAGGACTGGATTTTATTCTCACTAATCACAGCTGCAATTCTTAGACAGAATAGAAGAATACTCGCTGTCTCACCTGTCTCTGAAGGGCGATCAACTGCTCGATGCTGGGCAAACCGTTGTCGTGTATATGTTTCTTCAATCTCTTGAAGTCGTCAATCTGATCCTCCTGATCACAGTGAAATCGGACAAATTCTTCACTTTTAACCTGTTCGTAAACGCAAGAACAGCGAAGCATTAAGCAATTATGGTTGTTTTAGGCCTCTACAGAATTTATTTCTCTTTGACCTGTAACATCAAGGGGATTTTAAGAAGTTTAGTCATTATGCGGGTATCATGCTCGATGTTCTGACTCTAGTAGCATTACGCTCAAAAATTAAATAAATAAATAATTTATCAATGGACATTCCACTGGGTGGCTCTTCTAGTCCACTGTTTCCAGATCGAATTGGAATTTGGAATGTTGGTTTTTGCGGAGGGAGGAAAACTGGAGGACCCGGAGAAAAACCCTCGGAGCAAGGACGAAAACCAACAACAAACTCAATCCACATGTGTCGCCAGGTCCGGGAATCGAACCCGGGCCACCTGCATAATTTATCTAGTCATTCTCTGCAATGCTTTGAAACGGTATTGATTCAGACAAAGAAATAATGAAAAAAACTCAAGCTTACTTGCAATGATTTCATGTTCTTAGACAAGTTCTCAACCTGCTGTCTCAAAGATTTCTGCTCAGCAATAGAAGCGAACTTTTCTTGTGTTTCTCTTTCAAGCATTTCCTGCATTTCCTGAGCACGGTACAGTAATTGCTCATATTCGTGTTTTTGCTTCTGTTCGTTTGACTGATATTGTACAACTGTTTCCTGTAACTGCCTTTTCTCTTGTTGTAGTTGGTTTATTTCACCACGCAGCGCATTTTCTTCTTTGTCACGACTTTCTTGCAATTCCTTCAAGCGTTTTTCCAGCTGAAAAGGAAATAAACATTAAAAAAATTAAAAAAAAAAAAAACTGAATTGAAACTTTCTAGGATAAGATGTTTACCCCAAGATTTTTACCGACGGAACTAGCGAAAATAAAGCAACCACCAAAATCTTGACTCAGAAGTCATCCACATGTTTCTCGCGCTTTTTTTTGATTGGCTTCTCCGTAAAAATATCCGGATGTGCAAGCGTATCGGAAGGTGGGAAAGTTTGGCGTACTCTGATCATAGTTAGTAGCTATGCTCTGATCTGACGCTATTTTTTAAACATTGTCATATTTGCTTTAACTGAAATGATACCATCATCTTGCAAACTTTGTTTGGAGAGCTTCTCAGCGAGCGTCAAGGTTAGTGGATCCAACACCTTATTACAAGTGGTTTCATTTTTATCTTTCTCCGAAATTTTCTTTTCCATTTCTTTTGGGTTTCTTTTTGATAGGGTCGCGCGTAGATACAACTGAGATAATCCTGAAAGTTAATTTTATCTCCGAGTGCCGATAATTTCTTAAAAAACTGTTTTCCTAAATCGTGAGAGATATAATATTTTTAACAAGTAATTCATGCTCTTCACGAAAAAAAAAAAAAAATCAAACAAACAGACAAAAACAAAAACAGCAAATATGATAAGTATTTAACTTCATTTAACTTACCTGTAGTTTTTCTGAGCGAACTTGATTCATTTTCTCTGTAACTTGACTCATTTCTTTTTCCATACTCTCAAATTTAGTCTTCAAAACAGCTTGCCCTTCGCTTGAACAAACCACACAGCCATTCGCTATAGAGTGATCCGGTTTATCCCTGGTTCCTTCACTTTGAAAATTTCTTGTTTGATTTCGAGTGGGTTCTGCAGATTGCTCATGAGAGCAGCTGCAACCATTGCATTCATCTTTTCGCTGAGAGCAATCTCCCCCATTCGTTTTGCTGTTGTTCATGTCTGTACCCACAATTGACCTTGATGATTTTTCCTCCTTCATAACATCTAGTTTCTCGGCTAGTGCAGAACAAAGGACATCTTTTGCTCTCAGAGCCCTCTCTAGCTTTTTTGTCTTGGAGATATATAGCACAAGCTGAGATCTGAAAAGTCTTGAGCACCCTACAGTAAAATAATAAACAAATAAACAAATAAACAAACAAGCAGAGAAGAAAGAATAAATATCACGGAGCAAGTCCACATCTAAATATATTTACAGATGTAATGTTTGTATCTACCAAAATTTGCTGAATAATGTACCTAGCTGACCAAGGACATGTTTCTTTTGTTATTTACCTAGAGTCTTCCCTAAGCATGAACTTGATTTTTTTTTCTTTTATCTCAGTCTGTGACCGCATGTTCTTCTGAATATGTAGATTCTTGATTCACATTGCACAATTTCCTTGAGGGAGGGGGTGTTAGATTACTGGCTTTCATCAGCCCCAACCCCTTTGAATTGTATTGTATTGTATCAACACAGCTATGACCAAACCAGAGCTCAAACACAGAACTCTAGACCCAGAGTCTAGCACACCAAACAGGAGGCCACTGGGTCTTCAAAACTTACTCTTATCAGGACACTCACTTTCACAGCAGTTCTTGTTTGGTTCTTTATCACGAGTTACTTCTTCCAGCAACCCGATTTGCCTCTGAGGTTCTTTATCAGCTTGTAGTAAGTTGGTGGTCAAATCTGTATTCTTTGACAAAAACAACAACAAAAAAAGGTAAAAAAGAAAAAAAAAAAATTATAGCAAAGCTATGGAACTAGAAAATTTGATTTATTGGCAAAAAGCATTAAGCCTTACGGTATAAGACACTTGCAAAATCAACCAGCAAGTAGAAAAAAGGAAAATGCCAGAACATTTATATTATACAGTTTAGAGGATCTCAACAAGGTTGACTATTTTATGCACCACTATAATTTCTTTTAAAAGCCAAAATCTTAGTCTCTTGCCACTCTAAAATCACCCTGCCTCCACAAAGCTCCGGTGTAAAATCCTACGAAACCTTTTTCTTTTTTTTTTTTATCTTGTAACTCTTTGATCCTGAAGAGTGACCTGTATCTAGGTATTTTCTCGTTAAATAATGTCACCCCTGAATCACACACTGACTGAGGTCTTGACAATAATACAAATGATCACCACCTAAAGAAGGTCTTAACTGATAAACAAATTCAGTTTGACAGCACCTATGGAAATGTCTGGAGAAATGTATGGAAAAAATGCATACTGATGTTGGAGTTTAGAGGGCTAAGTAAGCCTACTTACGAGCCACGTGGCCCATCGGGCCAGCGCTTGACTCCGGTTTCCATAGCATGAAGCGGCTAGGAGCAATTCCCCCCCCCCTTCTACCCCTGGATGGAATGCTAGTCCATTGCAGGGTTACCCCCCAGCATTAAATTCACTGGTACCCATTTAATTCTCCTGGGTGAAAAGAGGCACTGTGAGAGTAAAGTGTCTTGCCTAGGAACACAACACAATGTCCCCGGCCAGGGCTCGAAGCCGGACCGCTCGATTCGGAGTTCAGCGCACCAACCATGAGACCACTGCGCCTCCATGAAAATAATAGAAATGAAAACCACCTAAAGAAGGTCTTAACTGTTAAACAAATTCAGTTTGTCAGCATCTTAGGAAATGTCTGGAGAAATGGAGAATATGCATACTGATGTTGGAGTTTAAAGGGCTTAAGTAACCACTTAATAAAATAGAATGCACAAGCAAAGTTGACCTTGACCAAGAAATTGTATACTTCAGTCTTTTCTGAATCAAAGTTTAAAAGATGAAACAATTTTTAGTGTAAAAGAAAAAACCAGAGCCCCAGATGGGACTTTAAAGTTTAAAAGGGCATGAAAAATAATTTGGTCAATACTGTTTCTTTTTTTTTTTGTTCATGCTCAATTTTTTTTTTCTTTGACCCTAATAAGCCCCCATTAGAGTGATTATCTCTAATTTATCATTACAGTATCACCTCTGAATCAAATATTAAGGTAATGGGAATAAAGGAAATGATCCTTAACTAACAAAGCCCTTGATTGTTTGACCATGTGCAAACACAGGATTGAAATGACAACAGGACAGTTGGGAGAATATGCATACTGATGCTAGAGTGAAAAGAGTAGGAACCAAGAAAAAAAAATGATATTTGTCAGACCAAATATCTCATTAATATTTCCTTTCTGTGGTTCCTATACATTTCCCTGTAAAAAATAAATCAAGAGAGTTGTAATTTAGTCTTTTATGAAAAAAGGCAACAGCATAATAAGCAACCAAGTTTGCTTAAACTGTACAAGCATCTACATCTACTTAGAATTTCATCAACATAAATCAGTCAACAGCACTTAAGCATCTAGTCAAAAACATAACAATTATTCCATTGGTGTATGTTAGACATAAGATGGTAATTAGCCAACAAGGTGCTATTCACCTCAAGTTGGCTATAACCAATCTCATATCCAACAAGTGCAAACACAACAGTAACAGTTCACCTGAAGCATTTCCATATAAAGTGCAGTGCTTTCAATAAGACCTGGCACCCGCTGGAGCTCCAGCGGGTATTCTGTTGTGAATCACCCGGTATATTTCACCGCGCTCAAGTCACAGTCACCACGCTAAGTCGCAATCAAGTCTCTTTCCAGCGGGTGTTGTACCGAGGTAGCCACCTATTTCAAATCTTATTGAAAGCATTGAAAGTGACTCGGAATATGAGCTAATAACCAGAGTCAAGTGAACCAATCAGAGCACAAAAAATGCAATATTCAGTCAGAGTTGAAAATTTAAAATAATCATAAATACATACAAACAAATAAAAAGGAAATAGAAACAGGAATGAATAGCAAAATACAGTCTGTAAAAGTGACACAGTGATCTTGACAAAAAAAAATTTACATTAGTTTCAGTGATGCATGGTAGAGAATTTCAATCTTCTCTTACTCTTGTGAAATAGAAATATATAAAACTAATGATCATGATTGCAATTTTCTTAGAAAAAAAAAACAAAAAATAAATAGAACTCTGATTTGAAAATATGCTTTTATTGATTTATCAAAAAGTATTCAGATGTATAGGTGAATTTCTGGGATAGTGAATCGAAACTGCAAGGATAATTCACAGGTTTGTCTCTTCTAGGAGTTAAATATTTTAACCATTTTCCTCTTAACGTTAGTACACATGTTCTCCACATATTGTTCTCAATACAATATCCCTTGGTGCTGACAAGGACAATTTGTTTAGCAATAAGGAACACTTTAAGTTGGTGGTCATTTCCATAATTTTATTCTCAGTACTTTAACATGAGATTCAGGGGTGATATCCTATGGTGAAATAAGATCCTAGTCTGTCTTAGAGGTTTAAGGGTTTAAAGGAGCAAAATGAAAATAAAAAGTGATAACCTCATAAGTAAATTAACAACAATAACAAAAGTTTAGAACTAATAGATGTGAAAAGAAATAAAAACTCAAAAATAGGTGGATATAGTCAATTAAGGAACGAGCTTTCAAGTGAAATAAGTAAGATTCATTGATTGTATATCAGAGTTGTAGCCAAGAATGTTATTAAGGGAAAATATTTTGGTATGCTGTAGTATTCTTGATAACAAAATATTAACTTGTTTATGCCAGTATCTAATGGAGAGAGGAATCAATGAAGCGTTAAGTCATAAACTTCAAAGTATTCAAATCATGATCATGTCGGAGGAGATCAGTTTGAAGTGAGCAACAGATACTTCTGTTTACAGTTTAAAAATACGAAGCATTTGCTTTCTTGGAAAATTTGTGATTTAAATGATACCAGCAGTCACTAAATCTTCTCAGATCAAATCACCACATTACAGTATTACTACAAATATGACCTTTTCAGGATCAAAGAGGGCTTAAATTAAACAGAGCCATAGGTGCCTAACCGTCTAGGTTTCCATGTTGCTTATATGACTACATGAATTAAAATTTTGTAATGTCTGCAACCATGTCAAAACTTAGCAATCATCAAAAGATCATATGCAGGTCAGGATTTTACAAAAATTTCTAATATAGCAGAAACGTTTAACAGACAATGAAGAAAATTCCAAGACCCTTTAATACCACTTGTATTACAACATTATCTTTAGCAAGCAAATATCGTGTGATCTCACATCCCTTGCAGCGAGTTTGCTACACACTCTACAAAACTTCCGCGAACGTGTACACACTCCAAGCCATTGAAACCTGATTAAAAATAGAACCCAGCAAATTGAATTGAAGTGTTACATCGAAAAGCAGACAAGCTGAACAGACACAGTCGCTCAAACAAACACCGTAAATTTGGAATCGAATTTCACCTAAATCACGACATGCAGGTTCAAACGTGAATAAAATATCAGCCAGACACGCAATAATATATAAAGCTGCAAATACGATTTGTTTCTAAAAAGATTCAACGATAATTTAAGTCGGAAACTGCAGCCGTTGTGTAACAATTTTACGACTGCGTGAAAACGACATCCGCTTGCTCAATGTGAAGAGATGTTTGGCACGCGATCAAACTAAAACCGAAAACAATAGACAGTCGTTCAGTGGATTCGTAGGTTTTGTGGACTCAATGGAAAGGAAAGCTCCACTTCTAAGACAAAATCGATAAGCGAAATAGCATTTATATAGCTTTCTAAGGAAACGAAAATGATCACCCTTTTTAAACGAACAATCGCCGGTCTTGATCGCCAAGAGGCAAACACCGCGGCGCTTTGGTGCATAGCATAAATAATAGTTTATTACGGTTAATTTACTCTTAACGCACCAACGGAATTGTAAAGACACCGTCACCAAACGCAACCTGTAATTATGTACTAGTGTTTTAGTGGTTATAAGAGGGTAAATGAATTACGATCGCGGAGAAAATTCCCAGTAACTTAATATGGCGATTGCGTTTGCACGAAGAAGGAAATTAGGCGCTCCACCTCGAAACATGTCAAAGCGATAGTCAACACGCGGAAACAACGAATCGTCCGACTCACCATTCGCGAAAGGAGTCATCCAGCTCGAAATTAGTGTCATGGTGTTTCGCAGTTCATTTATTTCTAGCTTCTGTTGTCGATACGAGGGTGATTCTTGCAAAATAATGGCGTAGACGTCGATCGAAATGAGCTGTCTGCACTGCACGCAGCGCAGCGAATGGAGCCAAAAATGTAGGCGGGGGAAATCGCTGAAATCAGCCAAGCAGCTAGTGAATGTATAATTTGCAAAACAAAAGTAAACTTACAAGATTTGTGACCAAGCAATGGTAAACACCACGTGGCAAATTGATTCCGTGAGTTGGTGATATCGCAGCGAGCATTCACCCGACCAGTCAAAGAACGTCAACAAAAGGCCACTTCAGTTCGTGAGTCGCTCACACAGGGTATCAAATATAACCAACCGAGGCCTTGCAAATCACAATAACATTACAAGCATGCTCGCTAGCGAGGGGGATAAGGTTACACTTGTCAATGAGAACAAAACAACTAGCTCACCATCGTATTGTCTGTATTTCCATAAACCTCTTTCTTCCTGTCGTCATCGAGAGTCACCGATTCCTCGTCGCACTGCAATTTTTCACTACTCTGGGCTTTCCGAGTCGGAAGCTGAGAGTCGGCGCCCGCGTTTAATACAAGAGTATCCTCGGCACATGTTTCACCAGAGCGTTCAAAGAAATTTGTCTGGTCGTGTTTAGGCTTTGTGCAAAGGCTTTGAAGAATACCTCGCAAGGCACATAGTCCACGTAGTTTCCCCAGCATAGAATTCTTCTCGCGAACTAAATATAAAATTACTCGTCTTAGCTCTTCGTTCTGGTCGCCATATCCCCATTTGTTACCTCCTCCCGGTTCGAGCTCAAAGTCGAAAAGTTCTGCGCCCTCTTCGGGTGGAAACCACATCATCTACCACTAACTACCACACTGGCTGCAAACAACGAGAGCCAAGTTAGAATAAAAATTCTTGGTTTGCAGACACAATGGAAATTTATCGCCAATTGGCGTTTATGAGCACCAAGTCACATGCCACCACTCTTCATGTAATCGTCACGGTGCGAAATACAACCGGAAATAAATAGTTCAAAGAGGGCAATGTTTACCAGAAATTTAATAGATCTTTGTCATCGGTATTACCTTCCCTTCTTTGGTATCATTACCTAAATGACCCACAAAAATTCTAGATGTGGTAGAGAATTACGAAAATCCACAAAACAACCATGAAAACTAGGCAACCAAAATAAAAACAAATAACCCATCAATATCTTTCAAATAAATTGTATTCTATTATCTATTTCTATTTCTCTCAACAGGACATTAACAGGAAACGAAAGCACGTTAATACGTCTCTGACTGAAGAGCTACCCGCAATTTGGAAATTTAGTAATTAACTATTTATTTTCCCTATTTATGAATTTTCAATTCGACTTTCTAGCCTATTAAAGTTCTGTTTTTCAAACGACTGTGACAGCCAACGTTACACTTTTTGGTCATATGACTTTCATAAGAAAAACCAACAATTTGGCTTCCGTTCCAAACTGTCTACAACATCAGCTCTCACCAGTTTTGCAGATGAGGTCCTATTGCATATATGGAGAGTGGAGAACTGTGCGGTGCAGTGTTCTTGGATTTGACCAAGGCATTCGATACCGTTGACCATAAGATCTTGTTATCTAAATTATCGGCTATCGGTGTCTCGCCCAGCAGGCTTCAGTGGTTCAAGTCCTACCTGAGTCATCGTAAACAGCGGACCTCCTGTGGTGATGCTATGTCCGACCCCCTCCCGATGACCTTTGAGGTGCCGCGGGGGAGTATTTTAGGACCGCTTCTATTCTTGGTTTATATTAATGACTTTCCTCTGGCTATAAATAATTGCAAAGTGACTTTGTATGCTGATGACACGGTCCTGTACTACTTTGCTAAGGAGCCACACCTGTTGGAAGAGGCACTGAATGATGATCTCTTGCAAGTTGCCCACTGGCCACATGGAAATAAGCTAACTTTGAATTTTTTAAATTAATTTTTGCGGTGTATATGTTGTAATCATTTTTGTATTTCGATTTTAGCTTAAATTTTTATATTTTAATTGTATTTTTATATAATACACATCTAGTATTTAGGACCTCTATGTAAACCACTATTGTGATGGAGTTTCCTAATAAAAGATTGTTATTATTATTACCTGTCGCATTCTTGCGTGACTGCCATAAACTGAAAAGCACAGATTAGATAGATGAGATGACAAGGATATCTGAAGGTCGTTGCAGCGTAAAGAGAAAGCAGACGCCCGATGCAGTGTGGCGTGACATACCTGCCTCCCAAGACACTCCCTGTTTTATCCCCGAGGCTCGTTCCAATCTCTTCTCGACCGAAGCTAGCACAACTGCGCACTCCTATGTAAACACAGTGAAAGATTTACTTTAGTCTTTGTTTTGTTGTGATTTTTGTTTGTACTTTAATTTTCCAGGTTTTTGCTTTGTTTTGTTATCCGTTTTGCTTATTGTTATTTTTCCCTTTCTTAGTGTGCGAAGGAAGATTATCGAACAAGCAACACCTATACATACTCCCTATTCAGTGATTGAAAATATGATACGAACGGAAATTTTGCAAATTGCATAGTGTTTTTCCGAACCTTTAGCCACCGTTTCACTCGCATCATACGTTAAACCATCGAATAAGGGTTGTTTATTGCACTATTATTCTATTTTCTAGTATTCCTGAATGCGGAACTTCTTATGGCTTTGAATGAGCATCGCATCCATCGCACAAGACGTAGACGAATAAATAACTACTGGTCTGTTAGCAGGCGTAGCATTATCGAAAGAACATCATCACAACTGCAGCTATTGTAATACGTACGTTTACGTCGATACAAGGTTTTTTTTGTTTTTTTTTTTAATCTAAAAATAATAATAACAATAATAATGATAATAATGATAGATACAATGAATATATGAAGTTCATATATTTTGAACTGCGGTATTAGATACGTATGATGCACGATCCTCGCATTAGATAGCGCTATTTAAGCAATAGCGAAAATCAGACCTGACTTTCGCAAATTTTTCGAAAATGTTTCCTTACTCGGAACTGGTCAGCTCAGACGACCACCACAAACCATATAATATTATCCAAACTTTAATGATTATTCGATCTAAGAGATATACATTTGTAATTCGAAATCAGAAAACGTAAATTTAGTCTTAATCTCAGGGCAAAATTCAAGAAAACATGACTGGAAACTCACTTCTGTGGCGGGTCGTAAAAACAGGTTTCTCACTTCAGGTTAGCAGATTCGGGTAAGCGAACAGATACAAAAATCGACTTCTCTCTCACTGATTCTTCTGAAAAAACTAGTTTAAATCACGACAAGCTAACACTTTAAATCATTGTGAGGAATTAATGTCAATCACGAGTTGTGTTAATTAAATTATATCTGTCATCATAGGCAACGCCTATTTACTAAACGAAACAGAAAATCTGACCTGAATCCTCGCTCTCTACTGCGAGGATCGTGCATCATACGTATCTAATACCGCAGTTCAAAATATATGAACTTCATATATTCATTGTATCTGTTTTATCATCACGGGTTTATTACGAATCAGCTTAACGGACTGCTCCCAGTTGGCTTGTTAGCTCAATTGGTAGAGCGCTGCACTAGTATCGCAGATGTCAGTGGTTCGAATCCCGTACAGGCCTGATTTTTTTCTGATCTGATTTTCGCTATTGCAAAAATAGCGCTCTCTGCTGTGAAGATCGTGCATCATACGTATGGATAATCATGATAATAATAATAATGTTATAATGATAAATCGAAAATTCATATAAATGAGCACAAAACGAAAACAAGAAAATCGCAGAAAACTTTTTTCGCGTTCTTTCAGGGGACTACATGCTCTTGGCAAAGTTTCACCGTACGGTGTCAGTCCGTAATGATGTAATTTGTCGTACATTTTCACTACCATTGTTCAATCAGATTGTGTTGGACTGTTCGTATTGCTTCTTTCTGGATTCCATGCGATCTCAGGGTTCGGGTGCCATCTTGGACTGGCTGACCACTCGCCTCGATTTCATGCGAAAGTTTTGAATCCCGCCGGTTAAATGAAGCCCCGCGAGTTGACTCGCTGGAGACTGGATTTCATGATCATGGGAAGGAATCTAGATGACTTACAACCGTTTGATCGAACGAAACGAGTTACTACAAATCAGAAGTGAGAGCCACGCCACCATTCGATTTCCATAGCTGATTTTGAAACACCGAGTCAAAAATATCAATTTCTCACCTGGATCGAAGGCTTCTTGCCGAAAAAAAAAAAAAAAAACACAATGTGGAGACGGCAACGAGACACGAGTGAAACAAAGCAGACCATACGTTGGAAGGGAAGGGGGGGAGGGGGTTTATGGCTTCGCACCTTTGTTAGCCTAATTTCAGCGAGCGAGTATTTTCTCTGTGTTCTCTTGGTGAAAATTAAAGTTGTCGTCTTTAAATCTTTAATTTTTACAGAAGCGGATCGAGCTTGGTAGGGTTATAAATTCGTATCAAGGAATGAGCGACGGTCAAAAGGAAAGAGAGGGGAGAGGTAGGGTGCTACTCTTCTTGCCTTTCCCCACTAAGTCTCGATCAACCATGGCTGGTTGAATAAACGCCGCAGGTTGCACTTTTGTTAGCACAGCCGGTATGAGAGAGCCGGCACTCTTTGAAACTCGGCGGCTATATTATGTCCAACCGCTTTTATTGTTGCTCGCTAAAACATGAGACAATTAAACTAGATGTAAAATCTTAAGTCCTGAAAAGACGCTTAAGAGACAGTTGGTTTATAAAACTTATCGCGTTTTCAGTCATTAATGCTCTCAGTGAACCGCACAGAAAGAGCCTTGCAGCTATAATTATAAACTGCATTGGTCTGACCTTGGGATCGATGAGGCTTCAACTCTAAGAACCATCAAATAATGGAATTGTCATCACAGAGACATGGAACAAATGATTAACTTAAATATCCATATCAATCACATTCATATTAAGTTATCGGTTGAAATTCAAAATTCATTCACGCCGATAGCTGGTCTTTTTATTTTACTTCATAGCGTCAGTTTGATACGTCCGATAATGCACACACTACATTTTCTGGTACACAGAAACAACCATAACGATAATCAGCTGAAAACGCCCTCAGTAACATTGCAAAGATAAAAGGTGTAGATCGCGTGGTTATTTCCTGACAGTGTTAGTTACTTACTAATTTTCTTCATTACTATAATTATTACTACGCTTTCTTTTTACAGAAATTTACGTTGTATAGTTCATTCTTTGTTCCACCATAGAATAATTTTATAGTTTAGTATCAGAAAGGGTAGCCTTTATTCATGTTTTTTCTTTTGAAATATGAGTCGCGTATCAAGGATAAACTCTTTAATAGTTGTCCGCATCATGAATACTCCTCAACTAACGAGACGTGCGAACAATTTATGAAGTGGAAAAATACCCTGACAGAATACATCATTAATGGAAAGACGTTAGCAATTACCGACGCTAAGGTTAGCCATTTTAAAGCCTTTTAATAGTATTTAAAATTAGCCAATAGGCTGCGGTTTTTTTTTCTTTGTTGAGTTTTTTTTTGTGTTTTTTTTTTCTTTTAGTTAATACGCGATTTGTCAGTGATGAAGATACTTTTCCCGGGCGAAAAAGAGGTTGGCGCTTTTCGTAAGTATTGAAAGCAACTTACATCTGTCACAAATCAGTTATTCGTCAAGTAAAGACTCTGAAAGTCTGTTGGGTTTCGGGAAAGAATATGTGTTTGCACCTGTCATGAATTTTGGAGGACCCCGCATTGGTCCAAAAAAAACGGCTATTATTCATTGAAATAGATATGTATATTTAAAATAGACGCAGAAATAAATTGTGTGGTACTCTTTAATAAGTCATTTCTCTCTTTCAGATGTTGACAACTTTGCTGACGAGATAATTACTAAAAAATATAATTTGTACCCGCGGAGGATTCATGCTTATTGCTATGATCTTGCATTGTAGAAATTTGTCTTCGAAATTTATGTCAGCGAAAGCTGACATAAATTGTCTTCACAATTTGTCTTCACAATTTATGTCAGCGAAAGCTGACATAAATTGTGTTCACATCCTCGACCTGTGTAACAACAGAACGTGAAAAACTAAAGTGAGGCAGGTTGGTTCCATTAACTTGAAAGACAATTATCTCACCGTTCCAAGGAAAACTCATGAACACCTGTCAGCCTCTAAAATAAACATTTGACCGCTTCTTGCACGTATTTACTCTTATTATGTTTGCCGATACAAGTTTCTCCCAGCAACGTGCCGTGCGTTCGCAGTTGGCGACCTTATCATGATTCAGTGTTTTTCATTTAACCAATGACAGCCCAAGATATGTTATCATCATTAACGAACTGCAAGTATCTTCTGCTTGGGGATAATACTTGAAGCAGCATGTGCTAAAAAAACTGTATCTGATCGCTCTCTTGTGACATTATCGTGATATTGGCGAGTTTGGTAACAATTCGAAGATGAGTGCAAAACGCCTTAGTCCATCAGAACACGCAACTAACTGCCACAAGCAGTTTCATCGAACGACACCACACGACGACTATGAAAGTCCGGGTTTTATCCGCAAAAGACGTATTCGTATTAACGTGAGAGGGTTTCAATTTGAAACCTTCCAAACAACGCTGGAGCAATTTCCAGAGACCATGCTCGGATGTCCAACAAAGCGAGTTGAATTTTACGATCCGGTCAGGGACCAATATTGCTTAGATCGTGACCCGGAAATATTTCACTTCATATTGTTTTTCTATCAATCGAATGGAATCCTTTCACGACCTAAAACTATTTCAAAGAATATCTTTGATAAAGAGCTCAAATTCTATGGAATTACAACAGATCAAGAGGAAGCAGACAAAAAAAGCTCTGAGGCTGTCAATGAGGCATCGACGTCTTCAGAAGAACAATTACGTTTAGAAATGCAAATCAAAGGTGATCAAAACTTAAACTGTAGTCAGCGTGGGAGAAATATGCGAACAAGATGTTGGTTGATGTTGGAGTATCCTGGAGTAACCCTAGCGGGTATGATATGGGGTAGAATCTCAATTAGTGTCATCCTTCTGTCGGTTTTTGCCTTTTGTCTAGAGACAGTACCTGAGCTCAATTGCCCTGAAGACATAACAAGAAACCCCAACCGCGATGGGAATCAACCCGCAGGAAATGAAACACAAACAACAATTAATAATGCAAGTTATCAATTGCAAATGACTGCCATGAATAGAACTTCCATGAGTAATTTACAAGACTGCTCCGCGGCGCGCATATGGTTTGTTGTAGAAACTTCCACTGTTTTATTTTTCATGGTGGAATACATAATAAGACTCTATACCGCACCAAAGAGATGTACTTTTGTCATTTCGTTGTTCGGGATTGTGGACGTGGTGGCGATTGCTCCATATTTCATTACATTAGCAGTCTATGGCTGGCGGACAGAGATGAATTTACAGGTGACCTCTTTCAGCGTGCTTCGAATCATCCGCCTCTGTCGCGTGCTTCGTGTCTTCAAGCTCAGTCGTTATAGCAACGGCTTACAACTTGTGGGAAAAACGTTCACGGAGACGTGGAGAACGCTCTCGACTTTACTGATGTGCGTGCTAATGGGCGTGATTCTATCCTCAAGCTTTTTATTTTACTTCGAAGAACAGGATACAGTCAGCAGCATCGTGAGAAATTTTTATTGGGCAATCATTACCATGACAACGGTAGGATACGGCGATGAAGTCCCCAGGACTCTGCTCGGCAAACTTACCGCGAGTTGTTGTATGGTTTTTGGGATTGTCTTGTTGTTGATTTTACCGTTGCCTGTGTTTGTAACACACTTCAGCAGTCTTTATCAAGAGGAGACCGAGAAAAAGAAGCAAAATAAAAGCAAAGGAGCTTACGCAGCTCCTACGTTGATTGAAAAGCTAATGACAAAGAGAGTCTAACCATAATTGAAAAACAACAACCCACGAGCGTCAGAAGAACTATATGTCAGATAATTGGAACAGATGTTTCGAATAAGAGTCGTAAAGCTAATATGTGGGACTTAAAGCAGTCAGGATGGCATCGCCAGGGAAGACATCCATCGAAAAACATGAATTAATATTTTAGTCATAGTTTCACGAATGGCTCGATGTGTTAATCGTATCACACCTCAACCTGAGCACAACGTATGTGAACAGGGTTCAGTTCAGTCGAGATTTCCGTTCTTAGACCGCCCATATTTTGCTGATTCCACGTTTTTGTTTGCAGAGGACGACTTAGAATTGAACAAAGTTTAAAACGCACATGCTCGGAGCTTTTCTGCTCACTGGATCGATCTTCGGTTTTGCCACGTCCTCGTCATCGTCATCGTCGATGTTTGCTTGAGGTCACAATAGCCAATGGCGGTGAGGGGAATGATCAGAAGGAGCTAGTAGGAACTAAATTGAAAAAAAAAAACAAACAAACTGTATGAAGCGCGGGGAAACCCGACCGATCACAGCTCACTGCAAAGCATAACCAAGGAAGTCCCAGATGACTTCGTCACCCATTTTACATCTGTTCTGATATTTGTATTTTCTTCTCTAGAAAAATCGATGACATATGAATGGGAACTATTCTTGCCTCGTTTCCCCGCATTTTGTCGTTTTTGTTGTTTGTTTGTTTGTTTTTTGTTTGTTTGTGTGTGTGTGTGTGTGTGTGTGTGTGTGTGTGTTCTGTTTTGTTTCTTATGTATTCTTCTCATTAAGTTGCTGTAGCAATTAATATTGTGTACCGGTTCCATTATTACCCAGTATTAGCCAAAGTAGTGTTAACATGGCAGCCGATGAGAAATGCATGGTCAAGATGTTCATGCAACCTAGAAACGAAAGCACAGCAAAATAAACTGTTTCACAGTGAAAAGACTGCAAAGATCTATAAGACAAGAAAACTCGAAATCTTTCCTATCCTATTTTAATCCTATCTGCGTTCATATTTTAGCAAAAGGAGAATGATCCTCTGTGATATATAATCATTGTAAAGTCAGAGAAACCTGAATTTGGCTGATTTTCTTGAGACCTCATTGTTCCTGGACATTAAATGCAGAGAACGACATTTTAAAAAGTAAAACTTAAAGCTGACCACTCTGAGCTCATTTGAAATTTACCTTTCGTTTATAATTTATAAAGAAATCTGCCAATGGATCGTACGTCATAATTTAATTCATAGAGCCCAAAACTTTTAATGGACTGTGACTGCATCATTGAATAAAAACATTCATATTTCACCACATCATGATAAAACGAACAAAGGAATATTTTTCGCGTCCTTTCAAAGAGAACAGCGGACATTAAAGGGATACGTTACTGAGGTGTGTTACGGTGAAATGATATAGTTAACAAATGGTAAACAGCACAGCATACTCTATTGAGTTATGGATGCACGCGGGAGGTTGCTAAGCACTCAAGAAGCGAAAGAGTCGCTCGAGGCGATAGCGGAGAGCGACTCTAGCTTCTTGAGTGCTTAGCAAACCTCCCAAGTGCATCCATAACTCAATAGAGTACGCTGTGGTGTTTACCATTTGTTTTATAACATAACATTGATACATTGTAGCTGAAGAGTTCCCTTTTATTTAACAAATCTTGTGTGACCAGAAAAAACAAGCGCGCGCAGAAAAATAGTCTTTGCATTTGCTCACATCAGCAGCGTACATGCATGGGAAAATGGGGGATGCAAAATTGACCAATCAGAGTGCGCGCTTTACTTTGGTTATGTTATAATAAAAAATCTATTGGCAGATTTGTCTGATTATACAGTCATCTAGTCAATGACTACCGTTGGTTTTACGTAAATAAGTTTCTCATAATCAATTTAAAAATTCTGACAGATTCTCTTCACTGCAGAGTTCTGAATAGAAAATTGCATAAAAGAATTTACATGAATGAAAATACAAGATACAACTAGAACTTACAGCTTGTTTCTGTTGTCTTCCTCGTTGTATTTTAGTCCAAAGTTTTCTTAAGAATTATTGAGTCACATTGTGACTACCTCTGACACCTTGAGAATGGTTGCTTTTGAGGCCTCGCATCATGAAGAGAAAACTTTACAGAAAGATACTTAATACTACAAGTACAATGATAAATAAGTAAATGACTCACTTTTTTTGTAAATTACAAACAACTTTATCGACAATGACCGCAGAAATTTGGAGCCCTAGCAACACACCTATTGTTTGGGTTGCCAGAAAGGTA